TATATATATATACTTATCATGTAGATATAACCCAGATCAATGAAGTAAATTGTAATCTATTTTAGCTGTTATTTCCTTCAGGACTAAAATTACTTAAAACATTTATGTTCTTAAAAAAATGCCATACAATGTGTCTGTGAAATATCCAATCAGGGTCAGGAGTTATCGTAATTTGCTGGACCACTCTAAGGTCTTATGAAATGGAAGGAAACAATTCACTGCTGCTAATTAATAAAACTTATCCTTAATTTATGTCTTCAAAATATCTTCGTTTGAAAAAAAAGACTAATTAACATCCTTTCTTCATGTTACCAAGTCGTCAGAATCAACTACATGTTTATACGCACACTGCCTCTTCGGTTACATTCCCTAGATGATGCATGCAGTATTTAATGGTGGTTAACCATGACTTCATATCCTCGGCATCGTGAACTTCGATCACGTACTCCATGCAATGTTCGGCCTAGCGGAAGGAAAGTTAACTCATTAGATACTATTTTCTCTGGACTTATAATTATAGTTTTATGTGATCTTCTTTATCAGAAAGTATACACAGTATTACCAAAAAATTCAACAATAGTTTTTACCAGTAGGTTTGCCATCTGAACAGCTCTAAAACAATTTTGTTGGTGTTTGATCAGTTTCAGCATTTTAAGTTTAAAAACAAACATAGTTTAAGAATAAAATGATGCACCCGCAGTATAAAACAAAGATTAAATCGTATTACATTCTTATACGAAACAGAACACTGCATTTTACTAGCGAATAAACGACGGTTGTGTAAGATAAATAACAGGGGGGAAACCCTTCCCAACAGGCCTGAATTTCTTGAATAATAATTAGTTAAGTATTCATCTATTTAAAAGCTAAGAGAAGGATTATGAAAACCTTAAACCATGCCAGAAGTATTTAAGAATAAACTTGAAAGTTTAAACGATGCAAAAATTGGATAATAAACTAAGAAAAACAGTGAAAGTAAATATGAGTCAGTCTCCAAAATATGTAAAATGACAACAAAAGTTTAAGAGTTACCTTCAGAACAAAGGTATTTTCATGATCCGGCATTTCTAGAGCTGTTGTTTCTCTGGCTTCATTAACGAGGAAGCAGAACACTCCACTTCTAGGCTTCATGGACTGTGAAGTGCATAAAAAAATTAAAGCATTAATTTACAGTTAGTTCCTTACACTCTTGTGGGTATCGCCTGTCTCTGGCACGTTTATAGATTAAGAACTTTCCCAGTGCCAGGTTTATTTTTAAATACACAATAAAAAAACAAAATGCATTTTAATTATTTCATTACTTATCTGAAAGTGGTAAACTGTAGGAAGTTTGAAGTGGAATATAATTTTTTCTTGGTGGTACTACAAGATTCCAAACTCACACATGGCTAATATCACACTCTTCTCAAGATTCAAACAAAATGTACAGTACCATACGCGTTTTTCATGGTAGTGAAAGGGGGGCTACCTGGATTATGTTATTTAGATACTCGTTTTCATGGTAGTGAAAGGGGAGGGCTACCTGGATTATGTTATTTAGATACGCGTTTTCATGGTAGTGAAAGGGGAGGGCTACATGGATTATGTTATTTAGATACGCGTTTTTCATGGTAGTGAAAGGGGGGCTACCTGGATTATGTTATTTAGATACGCGTTTTTCATGGTAGTGAAAGGAGAGGGCTACCTGGATTATGTTATTTAGATAATTGTGCTGGGTTCAGAGTATTTAACAAAGAATAATAATTAAATCAGATTCATGAACAAACTAATATTAAATCTTTCTATATTTCCAGTAAGGTTTCACAGGGTCTAAAATAACGCAACTTGCCATAGGCATAGCACAGAATTATAAGGAACGGTTTAAAATATAAGATGCCAGGAAGTCTTGTATATTTTTTTTCAAATAACAAGGATAAAACATCATGAAATTTGCTGGATATAAAAACAAACTTTCCTCATTAGTTTATTGAATCGAGGAGACTTTCTGTTTATTTGTTTTTAATTATGCACAAAGCTACAAAAGGGCTATCTGTGCTCTACCTACCACGGATATCGAAACCCGGTTTCTAGCGTTGTAAGTCCGCAGACATACCACTGTGCCACTGGGGGGTAGGAGACTTTCTAATTTAGGATTTGATATATCATGTATCAACTGTACTGATGTACAAGAGTCTAAGACTTTCCGAGTTTATCGTTAGGGCTGGCGAAGCAAAACAAAACTTTAAGGAAACATCTAACAATAAATTACTATTGTTTTATCTTTCTTTATAAGCTTGTGTACTGCCTTTGCGAGTTTGAAACCTTGTAAGTGACTTAATGCCAGTTTCCTTTTTCATACAAACATTTAAAGTAGTAGGAAGTAAACTTTAATTGAAGTCTACCCAACAAAACCAAACATTAAACAATGATTTTCACTGTATATTTATTGATTATTTATAATATCTTCCAAATAAGATTATTATAAACAGCACATTTTGATAACATGTGGTCTGATATATTTGCTCCAAGACAATGTTTCACTTCCTTAGTTCTATGATGGATTCAGTCAACAGATGGAAATATTTTGCTGTTTCTCATAATTTGTAGTGTGCACTGGAAGGAGTTAGACATTTTGATATAAAAAAGAAAAGAAATTAACTTTCCAGATAGTAATAAAAATGAAATATTTCAGCCACTACTCTGCCCTTGCAATTTTATCAGGGTTAGTAGTACAAGTACAATGAGCTAAAATAAAATGTTTTTATTATTATTCTCTGAAAAGTAACAGTCATTTTTTTTTTCTAGCTTCATTGTCATTACAAACCCTCAAAAACAACAAAATACTTTTGTAGTTCATCTGAAATTATTTTACTAAAAAAAATAACTGTTAACATAACTTATTGCAAGAACTTATGAAGTGTTAAATGAGTTGAAAACTGATCATGTCTGAAAATTACAAGTTTACGGTGTGACAGATTGTGATTTTAAGACTTCCTCACAAGTTCTGAGTTATTGTTGTAATATTTTGTATATTAACTTCAGGACAGCAGCATCTTCATATAGAATTTGTCCCAGATATGTTTTCATTTGTAAAAACATGTCTTCTAGCTTAAAGGAATGTCTTTTTAACCCACTAACTTCATCATAATTGCAAGATTATTGATGTTTGTTTTTTCATGTATAACACTATAAAAAGTATGTTAAGAAGATTAAATAGAACGACTAGGTAAGATTTCAAGCGGTATATCTGCGGACCCGTTTCGATACCCGTGGTGGGCAGAGCACAGATAGCCCTTGTGCATAATTAAAAACAAACAAACAAGATTTCAAGCAAATGTGACTTGAAATTTTGGACTTGCTCTGTTTTGAAAACACATCTAAGGAACACGATTTGTGTGGTCAAAACTGTTAAGTGTTTCGTGAAAAGTCAGAAACACAAACTGGATTATTTGGAATAATCAAGCCAGACTTGTTTTTTTAAATAAATAATTTTGTTTTTGAGATTAGCTTTTATAAACTTGTGATATAGTTAATGTGATGTAGTTTGTACCGATATTTTAGAATTTTGTTAAATAGGCACGTGAACCTGATGTTACAGTTGAGAGTGATCTCAAGTCAGTCTTTTATTTATCTAGCTTTTATATGTTTCTATTTCTTACAAAAACAAAATTCTAATTCATTGTATTTCAAAATATTTGGGTTCCAGATAAAATAATTTTCAGACTACATACAAAATAAATTACTGTTAAATTTATTAATATTCTTTTCAATATATATATATATATAGATATGTTGTATATCTTTTTTAAGAACAAGCTTTACTTTTTAGGGCTTTTAAAAAAAGAAACTCATTTCTGATTTATTTATTTTTTTACTGGAATTTTTAGTTTAAACTTTTCCCCACAGGTCTATTTATTTTGAACAAAAAAAACGAGTTATTTCTTAGTACAAGCAACACATCAGAACTACTGGGGGTAAATGGCCAAATTTAATTATCTTTGCTGATGAAAAAAATAGGTGTAGAGCTTTAAGTACAGGATTATAATATAATGAAAGTATACACACATAAATAAATGGCTTGGATTGTTTTATGGGTCAATGTTTATCTAGAATACAGCAACTCTAAATTCAGCAGACTTACGGCTCCTTCTTAAAGTTCCAGTAGAATTAACCTAAATATTTATTAATCTCGTGTCTTCTGGAATTAACCTACATTTTACTTATACTTTCTTATAAAAACACCCAAGTTAAACTGATCATAGCCACTTGTGTCCTCGTTAGATGTCGCCACTTTCAAATACAGTTAACACAAGATTTAACCATTCATCTGTATATTTTGAAGATGTAAGGATGCTCAAATTAGTAATATAATAAGTTAAACGCCCTTTACAGAACTACGTCCATATCCCCTCGATTTAACTCGAAGAAATGAAAGTGGAGCATATAAGTAATCTTCTTAAGCGCTATAGCAGGAAGTGAATGAACACAGAAACAGCAGACGACAATCGATGAGTATCCGCGTTCACGTTCTTCTCACGAGACACGACTGACTGGCTCGTTGGCGAAGTTCCAATCATTATAACGCTAAGCTGCAGCTTCGGCGGCTCCCGATAAGCGTCATATTTTCTTCACGATGAACTGGGTGTGACAGGTATGGGCAGAAACACGCATCATAATTGTTTGTGCCACTAGCTACAAAATATACGCTGTATAAATCTAAGGCGACCAACAAAACATATAGGTTGAGAAAGCACTGAGGCACGCAGGAACCCAGACCTTCTGTCTGTCTGTTACGAGGAAAAATGCTTCTAACGGTCGCACACACTCAAGGACTTTTTTTTATTATGTGCCCTGTATTTAGAAGATTACACAGTCATCTTTTTTTTTTTTTTTTTGTAGGAGGGCCCCGGGAGAGGTCGTTGCTTAAATTCTGGCCAATGATTTGTTCCCTGTTTCCAAAGTAACTCAATGTACTCTATATGCCAAAATCAACTGAACAGAACAGACAGTTAAAAATCAGAATTCTGAACTCGTTGATGTCCGCCAAAGGTATGCGTGACCTAACACAATATAATTCTGATGGATATTAACAACATAGTCGTTTGTTATAACGTGATTTTTTTTCCAAAACTATAAAACCCGAAAGCTTGTATATTTCACTGGCTACTACACCCGAAAAAAAAAAACAGTACGTATCTTTTTTAACCGTCATCCTTACCCTAAGTCCTTAACAATGATGTAGGTATAAGACTGCGCATCGTAAACAATGGCGTATATTTTCGATGATGGTTTTTATTTTGCCGATACATTTAATAACTACTAAATAAACACGTTGTTTTGCCTATTATCCCACTTTAGATCCAATTAGCGGTTGTTTTTTCCAGCTACAGTTAAAACAGATTGTCATATTAAAACCTTATTGATTTATTTGCCTGTCCAAGGTCGTATGAAACAAAACTGTAAGGGTAGCGCTAAAATCACGCCCAATGTTTTTAATAAAATATTTACACTTTGACAACATAGTTGTTGACCGATATTAGTATAACATATACTGGACGTGATTTTTAAGGTATACAGCATAGGGAAGTTGTGGGGGCGGGTCAAGAAACGTGTTAAAATTATCATTTTTTTAATTTTTTTTTAATTATTTAATAATTACTGTTTTTAAACTACCCAATAATTATTTTAAATACACAACACTGATTCGTCGTTCACTCTATTTCCCAAACGCGTTGTCAGTCTTATTTTTATACACACTTTTTAAAACTTTCCTTAAAATGTATCACCATAAATATAGTAAATATA